CTGTCGTACAACCCGTCCACAAGGACGTACAGCAGGACCGAGGACGTCGATACCACCCCAACCAGGTGGGTGCCTTTCCTTACAAACCCGCTTTCGCCTTTGGGGGCGGGAGAGCTGCGGGAATAGAGCACGGGGACCCCCGAGTTTGCATGGACTTCAACTTTTTTATCGATATCATACAAGTAATATGGGGAAGGGTGCGGCATGACATCAAAGTCGGTGATAATACACATCCCCAAGGGCATGCACACCGCCGTTGAGCGCATCATCGTCTTCCCAAGAAGACGAGTGAAGCTTAGGTATTTCAGGTTGCCCTCGATGTCAAGGGCGAGGATGCGGTATGGATTGCGAAAGACGTGTCGTAATCGCACAATCGACACCTTAAACTCCACCGAGATCACCCGAAGAGGGGTGAGGGTTTTAACCGACCACATAACCACCTCCCCACCTTCCATTCCAGCGGCGATCAGTTTACCACCATCCGATACCGACAACACGGTCACCCCCCCCTCTCGTAAATCAGCCCCTGGGGATCCGCAAACCCCCACTACCCCCCACCTCCGGTCGAAAAGAACAATCACCCCTAAAGAAGTCCCCATGACAAGCGTCAGGGCCCTCTCACGCGCGGACGCCTTACCGGTTTCGATCGCCCCCTCGGCCTCCTTTGGATCGTCAAAGTAACGCGGTTTGAGGGCCACGCAGGAGGGTCTCCCCAGTCGACCCCGCAGCCCCTCCACCTTTTCCTCCAGCGCGACGTGCTCGTGAAAGTGCAAAATGCGATCGCCCTTGTGCGGAAAAGGCGCATTCCACGCCGCGGCGGCGACGAGCTCGGCGCGCAAAATAATCCCCTCGACATTTGTGCGGTGGTTCGCCGTTTCGTCCTCCTTGTCGGGGGTGAGGTCCCCGCTCACGCTCGACTGCTGCTCCGCGGCGGCGGCGAGAACGGCCCCCCACACCGCCTGCTCCTCCCCGGCGGAAAAAGAAGAGGAAGGGGGAACCGAAGGGAGAATATAAGGGGCGACAGGGGAGTTTTGAGAGGTCGGGGGCTCGAGTTCGCACTTTGCGGGGGAGCGGCGGGTGGTGCGAAAAGGCCCTGGCGGGTTGCTCAGCCGCCTGAGCTCCTGTAGGAGAAGCTCCTCGTCGTCATGCGTGAGCGGAATCGCCTCATCCGCACCAGCCCCACCCTTCGCAATAGAGGATTGAGCGGCACCTTGACGTTTTGAGGGAGATCCCCCGTCAAGGTATGATAGTTCTTGCAGAGCCTGTCGAACAAGGCGTTCTTCTTCTTCGGTGTTCAGATTATCTTCTGAGAATGGTATCGAGGCGTGTTGATCACCGATTTGAAGGATTAGGGAATTGAAACACCCTTCCTCAAGTTTGGCTAGAAGTTCGATCTCATTTTTCATCGGATCCATTCATAAAAGATCAATTTATCATATATCTAAATATATATAAGATGTGTAACATATATTCGCATAAAAATAAAAATGTCTATAACTTTAAATGATAATTTTCAAAACTTTAAAGCGCTTGGATGGCTCCCCATTTCATTTTATACAATGAAATCTGACTATACTGCTGTTCAAAACTCGAAATATAATCGAAAGGAAGTTATCTTATTAAATCGGCATCATGATAATACTCTAGACTGTACATGAAGGGAATTTGTTAGGAATAATAGGCTGAAAAAGTACAATGATTCGCATAAAAAATTTGAGCAATTTCTTTTCCTAATACATTTCTAAAGGTACTATTTACATTGCCTTTGCATCGCGTAGAAATAAGGGTTGAAATGACAAAGTTATAAAAATGGAGGAATTTTTTGCCTTTCGTTGCATGCTTAAGGAGTGAGTGTGTAGTGAAGCAACCTATAATCACATTGATACCACGAACAATAAAGTTGAATCTTCTACACTATGTTTACATCTTGGAGAAAACCAATTGCATTACCATATCATTGAGATTTTCCTGCAGAAAATAAGACATACTGATGGAAACATATATCAAAATGAAACCACTAATATATATATATACAAGATTTTTAAAAATATCGGACATCTAACGTAAGACAAAAGCGCATCCTACAGGATGTATTTTTTCGTACCGATCTGATGAGAGAACAATGATTCAGTTACACAATATGTGACTTGAACGCGTTTAAATAGATATGTAAATATATATTTATATCTATCATTGTATATAGATATATAACTATATTTTTATGCGTAAGTAATTGTAAACGCCATTAATACATGACTAAATATTCATCTGTTGTGTGAAGTGCCTTAAATGCGCATAGAGTGACTCTTTTCTTCTTGGTGGATAGCAGAAGACAGAGTTTACGTCTTTACATTAAACGATTAAAAACCGTTAAATACGAAAAGGTGACAGTTGGGCATAATGTGTTATTATTGATGCTACGTAGAGCATATACCCTATATCCCCTTTCTTCACGATTAAACCTCATCCAAATGGGTGATCTGATACTTTTGTTTCTCATCTATTTGTTGCATAAGGTCGTTTCTATACTGCTTCTTGTTTTCCATTAGCTTGTGGCGCGTTTCATACTGGATGAGCTTAAAAGATTCCGCCGCAAGCTCATTACGCTGACGGGTGACACTTTTCGGCTCGTCGTAGTTATGCTTCAGGCGATATTCCTGATCCCGCGCGACACTTTCGTCAAACTCCTTCCGGAAAAGCCGTTTCTTCGCTTCATTCGCATCTTGCTCCTCCTTTAGAAGACGCTTATCGCGCTCCATAATGGCTGCCATCTCTTTCTCATTCAGGGATTTGGTTCGATTTGCCCATTTCATGGATTCCCTGTGCGCGTTCTCGTTTTGGATCTTCAGCGCTAGGGTAAAGTTTTTCGTCTGCCAGGCATCAACCTTATCACGGTGAGAAAGGTTCTGATCTACCATTCGCATAAGCTCAAGATCCTGCTTTTCGCGCTCAGCGGCGGCCTGTCGGCGCTTTTCAAGTTCGCTGAGATTCACTTCGCGCATGCGCCGCATGCAAGCCTTATCCGCCTCGATCGCACGGAGGGCCTCCTCGGAGGCCAGGCGGTCCGCCTCTTCGTTGAGCTCGCGGAGAGCCGTCATCTGCTGGGCCTCATCCGCCTTCATCTTCCCCAGCGTGGCCTCCCGCAGCGCGAGCTGCTCCTTCATGTCGGCGTTGTAGAGTCGGTTGTACGCGGCCTTCTTCTGCGCAGCCTCCTCGCGCTCGCGGAGGTATATGTTCACCCCTCGCTGGCCCTCCGTCGCGCGCATCCGCGCCGAGCGTGGGCCGCCGCCCGGGAGGGGTCTCTCCGCTTGCGTCGTCTGCTTTGGTGGGGTGGGCTTCCCCCAGAGCGCGCGCTCGGCCTCACGGGCCAACGCGCTGCGGCGGTCCTCCTCTTCAAGGGCGCGTAGCACCGGCGCGTAACGCTCGCGTCGGATCCGGTTGCGCTCCACAAGGTAATGACGCCGTGTCATCCCACCCTCATTGAGCTCCACAGGTGGCAGTGTCATTACAGAGTAAGGGGGGGGGGATGGCTAGGACTCTACACTGTTACAGAAAAAACCCACGGCACTGATACGGAAATGTC